AGACCCTTCATCAGAAATTTCTGATGAAGGGTCTAGGCCCGAAACGTCAGCCTTTCTGCTCCTATGATGCTGCTTGGCCTGCTGTGTTCATCCAGCTCTGCACCTTGTTGTCTCGGATTCTCCAGCATCTGCAGTTCCTACTATCTCTGATCAGATAATCTGTTGTGCTGTTGTTGGAGAGATACATGTTGACTGGACCGTAGGGAGTATGGCACCTTTTGACAGCACTGCCTCAGTGTGGATATGAACTGGGGACTCGTCCCAAAGTTGGAAGAACTGTCCCACAGACAAGTTAAGTATGAAGACTGACATATTCACGCTCTCAGAATTATACCATACAGCCAAAGTCTCACTCTCCTCCATCACTAAGGGAATCTTTAAGCAAAGTAGCATTCTAAACTAATCATAGTATAATGAAATAAATATTCTTTAATGTTACAAATAATAGGGAAGATGCTACACTGCCCAATAAATACTGCCACCATCAGTCTTCATACAGTTTGATTTGAGGTGAAGATTTACCATTCTGTCCCTTAAGCAACATTACTAGACTAATGGGACAATTCAATTCCCACACCAGACATCCTTACAAAGAGCAAAAACAAAGTGCTGTGGAAGCAGGAAATCTGAAATAAAAATGTTTTAGCTCAATGATGTTTCAACAGCCTTTCCTTACCGGTTCTGCCAAAGGTCATTGACCTGAACCGTTTCTCTCTCTGAAGCGTTGCTGGGCTGACTGCATGTTTTCCACTGTTTTCTGTTTTTAAACGGACAGCTGAGTCTAACTGAGAATGCCAAATCGTAGGCACTGTCGTTCCTTAATAGGGATGAAGTAAATAAGGAAAGGAGGAGGGATGAGTTGATAAAAAGCCTTCAATGTAGTTAAAGGATTCAACAGGGTCAGCGCAGGGTAGATGTTTCCGCTTGCATGAGGACCAAAATCATGGGATGATCTGTATAAGATAGTCACTAATAAATTCAACGGATAATGGAGGAAAAACTTCTTTACCCAGAGTGTAGTATGTGGAACTCCGCACCTCCGGACTTATTGAGACATAACAGGGGTGTATTTAAGGAGAAGCTAGAGAAACATATATTCATAGAAAGATTTGGTGACAGACAGATATTGCGGGTTCCAAGAGGCTTGTGTGGAGCTTAAACACCAGCATGGATAGGTTAGGCTGAATAGACGGTTTGTGTGCTCTAAACTCTATTATTCTATGCGACAACTTAGCTATGGGTGCGTTGGTTAATGTCCATTATCAAACTGGATTGAGACAGATCTTCACTGTAAAAATTATATGTTAGCTTACTGCAATTCCCAATTTATTTTTTGCTTGGAATGATTGAGTAGTACACATGCCTGTTGCCTCTGCTGACCTCTTGCAAATTGTGCTCTTTCCAGGTCAGTTTTGCACAGAGGATGTAGATGAGTGCCACCTGCAACCCAATGCTTGTCATAATGGAGGAACCTGCTCCAACATACCTGGCGGCCACACCTGTGTATGTGTCAATGGCTGGACGGGAGATGACTGCAGCGAGAACATCGATGACTGTGCCACTGCAGTGTGCTTCAACGGAGCCACATGCCACGATCGGGTGGCATCCTTCTTCTGTGAATGCCGCATTGGAAAGACGGGTAATTATTGAGACTGGCATTTGGCCACAAGTGTCCTCAACACATATCCATTTCTTTTGATCGTTCTCAGGATGTGGTTGTAACTGGCATATATTGCTCATCCCTAGTGGGTTGTTGCAAAGATGTTGTTGAATATGTAGTTCTAGAACTTGTACACAGCAGCAATGAAGGAATGGTGATAAGCTTCTAAGTTGAGATGTTATTGCAACTTGGCAGGATCATGAGAGGCTCTAGTGTTTCCATGCATCTAGTCCTCATCAGAGGAGCTAGAGAGAAATTAAATAGCCTGTTCTAATGTCCTCAATGACGTTCAATGCCCGTAAAATATACTCCAGACTAGGTCTAAACATACAGGAGAGGTGGCAAATATACAGATTAGTAACACAACTTGTTGAATGTCTGCAATAATAGTCAAAATGATTAGGCAGAGTACCCTCTCTGACTTAAGCATTCTTCTGATGTCTCATTCCTCACCACTGTGCTGAAAGATGTGTGATTGATATATATTAATATCATTTTATTAAGTGTTTGGATTTCAAACTAGTGGCAAATGGGTGTTTTTTTTTTGTGAACAGATTTAAGAATTAACCAGGTCAGTCTTTTCAGAACCGTGATTTTAAACCAGTATATGCCAGAGAGCAGATGACTGAAAGCCTCCTGGACTGATCAGGGAAGTTAGGCTATATTGTGAAGTTTTATGATAAGAAAGAAAAAAAAGCATTAAGCCATTAGGTTAACAGAAGCTAAAATGATCCAAGTTTTTCGTTAATTCAGTTAAAAGCTTCTGAATTCAGTTTGAAGGAGACCCGATTGAAGTTAGGTGTAATAATAATTTCTGCTAGAAAAATGAGTTTGCTCAGAGCAATCAAGGGAATAAATTACCCTCAGTCTAAGGGTTTCAGTTTGTGAGAACTTCCAGACTGAAGTGTTTGATTATAAATCTGAATTTGTTATTCTAAGTCAAAAGTCACATGACACCAGGTTATAGTCCAACAGGTTTATTTGAAATCACAAGCTTTCGGAGTGACTTCATCTGACGAAGGGGCTACGCTCCGAAAGCTTGTGATTTCAAATCAACCTGTTGGATGATAACCTGGTGTTGTGTGATTTCTGACCTTGTCCACCCCAGTCCAACACCGGCACTTCCACATCTTGGTTGTTCTAAGCTAAGAAAGACTAAGATCTCAGTGGTGTGAGGATTCAAGGAAAATACTTCAAAGTTCATGGGACAGGAACTGAGGAAAAAAGCAGTTAAATCAAACCTACAGATTGGGCAGGGAGGGGAATTTCTTTCTGAGTAACTTTAAAGTGATGGGGTTGGAAAAATAGATGGGGCTTTATTTTGCAGTGTGTTTTGAAACCTTTCGAGCTACATTATATTTTGAAAGCTTCTTTTATTTTATTTCTTGTTAAACCCAGATCTGCAGCCTTGTGTGTTTATGGTTCAGTAAAAGATCACCATGTTAAATAAGAAGGAACAGAATATGACCTATCGCCAGATTTCATTCTGATTTGTCCAGTGGTAACATTGGCTGAGTTTGTACCACTGTTGTGATTATACAAAGGAATTAATAACACCCACAAAGCAACTGGCTCTTCCCAGGCATTCTCAAACCTTCTATTATTGACTTGCAGGCTTGCTATGTCACCTCGATGATGCCTGTGTCAGCAACCCATGTCATGAGGGGGCTATCTGTGATACCAACCCAGTGACTGGCCAAGCCATCTGCACATGTCCCTCAGGATTCACAGGACCAGCCTGTAATCAGGATGTTGATGAGTGCTCAATAGGTATGCTCTTGTTAATTTTTTATATATATCTGGAAGTGTTACCACCCACAACCAAATGGGTTTTTTGCTGGCACCAAATCACTCATGCTTGTTAATCCTTTTATCAATTGTATTTAATTACGGCCACATTGGAGAGCATTAATTGAGGTTTCATTTAAGCTGACACAAAAACAAATTACAGTTTGGTTAAGTTATGAGGTACATGCTTGTCAGGTTTTATTCTGCAAATAAATGTTAGACTGACTGAAGGTTGGCTCCAGTTTTACCCTTCATGGCTTCTTCGAATATAATATGTGGTTGTTCCCTGAGGAAATGGATCTGCTGATGGACCCATTTAAAGATTTGCCCATTAATTATGGTGGATTAAAATTGAAGGGGAATCCAGAAGATGTATCGTTTACAAAAGTACCCTCCCATTTCATTCCTGAAAATATTTAACTCAGGAGAGCTGGTAATTTTAAAATAGCCAGTTTTCTCTCTAACATTCACTTGTGCAAACTCCTTCACAAGTAGATTTCCATGTCCTGTCCAGTGTTCACTCCACCTTACTCCTCACAAATCTTCATGGGCCCATTGGTTCCCATTGGACTTCTTAAATACCTGGCACTTAACTGCAGAGGTGGCGAGAAGAGGCAAGTTGCTTACCAGGGCCAATTGTGTGGTGGAGACTCAATGGGTTGAATGGCTTCTCTCTGCACTGTAGGAATTCTGTGATTATTTTTCTTCCTTGCCAGTGTAGATGCAGTGGGCCCCATGGCCAGCTTCTGCACTGCAGCAGTTCTATGTGAGTTTGGACCACTCCCACCAAATTGAATATTGATAAGCGTTTTTATTGGAAAGATGTACTAATGGTCAATCAACCAAGGACAGAGTTAAGAAACTGATTAGCTGTAAATTGAACAACAGTGGAAGAAGGTTGAGGCGGTTAAAATGCCTAGTCGTGGCTTTTGTCTCATCCCGTACATTTCTGTGCTTTACAAAACTCTTCAGGGCCCACTGTAGGCCAGGATTTGAAGGCAAAAATCAAGGCTGTGCTCCAGTGTAGTACTGAGGGAATGCAGCACTGTCAGGGGTGCCACCTGTATTCTCAGGAAAGGAAAGAAAAGAAATGAATAAAGGGTGAAAGAAGGAAGGCGGGGGAAGAAACACAGTGTAGAATTTCTTTTTGCTTCTGGCTGCCTGACACTTCAAGGGAGTTATTATCTTCAGACTGTGAGTTTCAATGAAGATTTGCATTTGAGAAAGGCCACATAGACAGCTTGACTGAAAATAAAAGGAAAATCACACAAACAGTAACAGTTTGAAGCTGTTGTGTTTTGTGTGTAGCTAGTGGAGCAGTGTCAGTTTAAAGATAGGGCATAGAAAAAGAGCAACCCCTAGATTAGTTTCAGAACTCAAAACTGATGGGATGCCCTGGTGAGAGGAGCTGGTGATGTGCTCAGAATTTTAATACACCTTTCGGATGAGATGTTAAACTGAGGTCCTGCTTGCTCTGTCAGGTGGGCGTAAAAGATCCCATGTCATTTCTTCACCGATGAGGTATCCCCCATCCATGTCATGGCCATATTTATCACTCAAGTAAAATTGCCAAAACAGATCATGTTGCCATTATCACATGGACACAAATTGGCTGAACCCTTTTTTCCTATATTACAACAGTGACTATAATTCATAGAATCCTAGGAACTTAATTTTCAAAGAGGCTGGTTGGCCCTTTGTGTCGATACTAGCTGACAAATACTTATGCAGCCAAATTCCATTTTCGGGCTCTGTCCCTAGCATTGGAGTTTGCAGCACTTCTGTATCTGAATATTCGTAAATGTTATCAGAGTTTCTGCTTCTACCATACTTTAAGACAGTGAGTTTTAGATCCACACCAGCCTCAAATTTCTCTTTGAATCCTTTCTAAGCCTCCAATCTCATGCCAAAGTCCATGCCTCGGGTTATGAAACCTGCAACCAAGATGTATGGGGTTCTCCTATCCATTTTATCTAGACCCGTTGCCATTTAATCCACCTCAGTCTCTTCTGTTCCAAAAAATACAATCCTGGCTTACTCAATCTTCTCTCAAAACTGACATTTTCTTCAAATGATACCCCATTGGTTGAAAAGCGTTTTGAGATGAACAGTGGTCCTGAAAAGTGCTGTTTAAATGCAATTTTTTTTGTTATTTCCTGTTCCTTGAAGATCTTTGCCTTGATATCTCTCCCCAACTTCAAAGCTTACTTCTTTGACTATGTCTTCAGGTGTCAGCTTGTAATTGTATCACCTGATGCATGTATTTATACAGTTTTTGCCTGGAAGTCTCGCTTGTTCAGTGTCGTACAGTGCAGAAGGATTATGAGGACTGTGTACTCCATCTGTTTGTTTCTCTATTGTTTGAAGGTGCCAATCCATGCGAGCACTTTGGAAAATGTGTGAATACTGAGGGCTCATTTCAGTGCCAGTGTGGAAACGGATACACAGGCCCCCGCTGTGAGACTGACATCAATGAGTGCTTGTCCATGCCCTGTCAGAATGACGCTACCTGCCTGGACCGAATTGGAGAGTTCACGTGTATCTGTATGCCTGGTAAGGAAACATTGCTACTAACTGAGCAGTAAAGATGTTCTTTTTAAAAGATGCTAATCAAGTATATTTCCATTCAGTTCAATCAGAACAAAGCACAGAAGAACAATAAACAAAATAGAATCATTGAGAAATTGGTTATGAACTTGGAATGTAAAACATCCTTTTAGAAAGGATGTGCTTTGGGCGTGAAGGGGGTGGTATTGTGGTGCAGTGGTATTGTCTCTACCTCCGGGCCAGGAGGCCTGTCTGTGAACAAGTTGATTAGTAAATATCTATAGGATATGCTTGAAGGGCTTTTGCGCTCTTACCTCTGAGCCAGGTGACCCCGTTCAAGTCCTACCTACTCCCAGAAGTGTGTCATAATATCTCTGAGCAGGCTGATTAGAAAATATCTCCTATGGGGTGCATTTGATAGTTTGTTCTGTTGATGCTAACAGTTAATCAGTTATCACCCATTTGTGTCACCACCCCATGTTCAATTTTATCGCTGCTGTTTCTGGAAAATGCACTCCTGAGAGTTCCCTGGTTAATTTCACTCTTCAGAGGCAATCGGGTTTGACTCCTTGTCCTTTGCTGAGTTGGTTAATCTCAGTTTAGACAGACCTTGTGTCACCGCTATTTCTTGACATTGATAGGATCCAGGAGCAAGAGCAGGAGTAGGCCATTTAGCCCCTCGAGCTTGTATTGCAATTCATTAAGTTAAAAAAAAAAGTCTTGGCTGACTTGGTTGTGGCCTTAATTCCTCTTTCCTGCCTATTCACCCCACCTCTTGATTCCCTTGTCTGGCAAAACTCTGTCTAACTTCAGCCTTGGATATATTCAATGTTTGAGCCTCCACTTTCTCTAGGGAGAGGATTCCATAGACCACCGACCCTCTGAGAGAAAGAAATTCTCTTCCTCACCTCAAATAACATAAAAGGATGTGAGGATAGCCCACAATTATAGCATTGAGGTAGATGATCAGTCATGATCTAGAATAGCAGAGGCCTGAATGGCCTGTTCCACCTCCTGTCTCTCGATCTCAGTCTTAAATTGGAGCCCCCTTATTTTAAAACCTCTAATTCCAGTCTTTCAGACAATGGGAAGCAACCTCCCAGAACACAGCCAGTCACGAATAAATCCTTAGTATTGGCATGTTCCATTCTTCTACACTCCAATGGATATGTTAGCTCGTGCATGAGATAAGGTTTAGGGGCTAGTGTTCCTGACTCAGTTTGGCCTTGTTGAAAAATTCGCAAATGTCAATGGTAAGTATCAGATTGAGTACTACAACCCCAGAATCAGGTGACTTTGAGTTTCAATAACTCCTTTAGGGAGCTATCATAATGGATCAAATGGCTCTTGGATGATTGCTGTTCTTGGTGGGGAAAAAATGTGGTTGGAAGTATAAGGGGTGGTGGGGCACGGGGAGTGGAAAGAAAAAAAATATACAATGTGGAAACTTTTTCTTTGCTGCCTGACACTCAGAAGGAGTCATTATATTCAGACTGCAAGTTTCAATGGAGATTTACATTTGAGAAAGGGCCACATAGACAGCTAGGGTGAAAATAAAAAGGAAACCACACAAATGCTAACAGTTTGAAGCTGTTGTGCTGGTGTAGGGAGGTAGTGTGTAGTGTCGCTTTAAGGATGTGCTGTGGAAAAAAAAAGCACTTCGAGATTAGTTTCAGACCTCAAAGCTGCTGGGAGTTGATGGCGAGGTGAGAACGAGACACTGGGTGCGTGCTTGGAATTTTAATACACTGCAGAGTACAGGAGCACTGGGTCTGCACCCTTTCACTGAGGAAATCCTCTTTGTTTGCTTACACACCACATATTGGGAGCCTGAATATTCCCTCCATCATTAATTTCAACCCTTGAGAGTTTGGTGGAGTTTAAATTTTTCCCTGGGGAAAGTTTTTAATAATAAAAAATAAATTGCTCGACTTGTAATGATATGGTTTGGAGGAGAGGCATTGTACTTCAGCACAAAATGGTTAGGAGAGGGAAGTATGCATCAGCAGGTATGCCCTTGCACTGTACAAACAAGGAGCCTCCTGCAAAAGTACATCCTCTGATCCTTTTATAGATGCAGCTATCCTGATGCAACACTGTAACAGGATGCTGTGCAGTTCTGGTGCTAGATGAATTCAGGACACAGTGGAGGGGACAGTTTGGGGTAGTGGCTACAAATGAGAGCCTGCGCGTTTCCTTCTGCGTGTCACATTTGTTACTTGTAAAAGTGCAAGCTGAAGACAGTGAATGTCAGCCAGTTGTTTATCTGGAGGGTGGTATGGCAGTCAGTGCTTGATCCTGCCCTCAGCTAATGATACTTTCTAATCAAACTGTTCAGAGATGTTATAACACATCTCTGGAGCTCATGGGACTTGAGTGTTCAGAGTACACTTAAAATGCCCTCCCACCACTTTTAATGCAGTTACATTGTCAAACTCGCAAAAGATTGAGGTGGCACAAAGCAGGGTTGGTTGCAACATGGGAACTTTACTGCACTGCAGGTGTGGCGTCTTGGCAATACAAAACTGAGGTGTTGCAGTGCCCCTGTAGGCATGAGTTATAATTACACTGTGACAAGTTTACGTGGGGAATCTCCACTGCAAGGGAAGACACTGGAATTTATAACGGTCAAACTGAACACAGAACATTTGTGTTGTTTGCAAACAAGCAAAGGACTCTATCCAGTAGTCCATCAATGTATCCCCAACCAGCTGTTTTACCTGAGGGATATGATTCGCTTGTATCCATTTCTGATGTGTTTTAGATCAAGTGAGTTCATCCTGACAGCATGACACTCAGTGTTAATGTTGTGAGTTTATTGGCAGCAGTATGGAGCAACAACTGCCTGAAAATATAGAGGTCATATAACACTGGGTAGCATAGAGCACTTTACCATAAATTGTGAGGAAAAAACCACTTCAGATAATAATGAAATTCATGGATCTTCATCTGCCTGATGCTCAGCTATCTTCTAATGAGCTGGCCTCTTTATGACAGAGCTGTTATTCCATCCAGCCACATGTTCATCAAGTGTGCTGAAAACTGGATGTTTTACAGACTGAAGGGATGTAATTGAGCCTCAAGTAGTACATTCTCTGTGCAGCATCAGGAAATAATAGACGGGAATGAAAACTCACTTAGGGATTTGTTTTTTCCCTAATCCAGTAGGGTAAAGCGCTTGCACTGTAGTTTGCAGCAGGAACCTTTCTATAGTTGAAGACAAAATTAAGAAACGATAATTAAAACCCCTCTCCCACCTATTTCACACCAAGTATGGAAGTTTGATCATTGGCAGAAAAGATAAAAAGGTCTATATCCCGTGAGCAGGGCTCGGGAAAGGTTAATTATTCAGTGTATTCTATTTTAATGAACCTCCAATTAATCCCATCTTTTGGAATCGGTTTTACGTTACTGTGTAAATAGTCCATTGTGAAGAGACAAGTGTACTGTATGGTGCCAGTGCTTTCAACACAGCCTGCCACTCACATCCTACATTACTGTCACGCCAGACAGGGATATGGGGAGCAACAAAGGCACTTACACTCCAGTTGCACTCCTGCGGAAGAATAAAGAGAAAGGGCCCTCATCCTTCTTTGCATAGTTTTCTCTTTGAACCTCACTGTTCTATGGCATTCACTGCCAGTCGTGCTGGCCTGTCTGCCAACAAAGCTGGCCAAAGCTGGTGAATGCTTCTCCAGGCATGAAAGAAGACACCACCACCCCCAGGGGTAGGCCCCTCAGTTCATTTACTCAAGTTTTGAGAACTAGCCTTAGAATTTGAACTACTCTCATAGCAATGGAGGGAGACAGACTGAAGGAGGCAGAGTGAGACATGATTACAGACAGATATAAGCATAAGCAGGCTGCATACATGTTAAAGGCATAGGAACATATGCACCCAAAACATACACATGCGTACAGTCTCACCCACTCACTAACTGTCTTGTACTCTGTCACACACCTAGTCTCATACTTTCACTCACTCTCACACTCCCTTATATCACACTCACACTTTCACTCTCTTTCTCAGATACATTCATAAGTCATATGCACAGGCAAACACATGCAATCTTACTGCTTTCAAATGACACATACACAGAGCCTGCTACTCTGATGCAGTTTGCTTTCTGCTTGTGTCAGTTCAATTCCTAGAGCTAAAATAGGTGTTTCTGAGGACTTTTGAAAACTTTTATTTTTGCTATCGAGGTTTGTTTAAGAGGCTGCAGCACAGATTTCTTCAAATATATCTAGGTTGCAGTAAGTATCAGTCGACAAATATGTGATCAACTTTGTAGATTTAATCATTAACTCATCCATTTCCACAATAATCAGGAAGTAGCGGCCAATGTTTAGCACTAGTCAGCTTCACCCATTCCTTTAAGATTCTTGTGCGTGAACAGCTTTTACGTGTGATTCATGTGGCCAAGCATCCTTCCATGAGTATCTGGGTAGCTTCTCACAACAGGAATGCAATCCTGCACCCAACATCCAGGGACAATTTTGATACTTCTATTCTTTATTCTGAATAGTCCAAGGTATCTGCTTCCTTTAAATGTTCTGAGCTTTTAAAAAAAATGAATTCACAGCCTGTAGGTATCACTGGGTTTTGTGTTAATTAACAGTATCTACATGGTCACCATTGGGTTCATGTTTTATTCAGTCTCACCACCTGCCGTTGGTTCAAAACCCGCTCCCTAGAACCTTAGCTTGGGCCTTTGGATTACTAGTCCAATGACATAACCGCTACACCACCATCTCCCCATCCACTTTCCACTTGAAAACCCACTTCAAGCTCCTAAGCTCATTCTGCTTACCCAGTCTGCTTACTTCATCTCTGTAACATTTGTTTCCACCACTATTTCATCCTTTTGGCTGCTGATACTGTACTCACCTTTCTGTTCCCAGAAGAATCAGTTTCTCTCATTATTTATCTTGACGGGTTCCCATCAGCCACTTTGCATGAACTTCAAAATGCCCAAAATCCAGTGACCTGTAACTTGTCTCACTGATCTCTACTGTTTCTCTGTCTCCTGGGGCAGCGAATTCAATAACGTGGACAGCATGACTCTCGAATGTTACAACTCCTTGTTGAGGAATTGCACCACAAAAGGAAATATTTCTTCTATTTCTTCAATGGACTCCTTTACACATCTTCAGTATTTTAAAATTTCAATTCCTCACACCGTCTGCCACTCTAACTTGCTAATTTTCACAAACTGATAAAACATTATTAGCTTCCTTACCTTCCTTGGCCTCTATTCTGTAGAATCTGTAACCTTTAACATTGACCCTCCATACTTACAAACCTTGACAGTATCTGGGCACTCCAAGTGCGACCCCTTGACTGAGTAAAAGATAAACCTCAGACGGTTCATAGAGTCATTCAGCATGGAAACAGACCCTTCGGCCCAACCAGTCCATGCTGAATATAATCCCAAACTAAGCTAGTCCTACCTGCTTGCTCCTAGCCCATATCCCTCAAACTCTTCCTATTCATACGTATCCAAATGTGTTTTAAATGTTTTAATTGTACCTGCATCCACCACTTCCTCTGGAAATTCATTCCACATGTGAACCACCCTCTGTGTAAAAAATTTGCCACTCCTGTCTTTTTTAAACCCGTCTCCTCTCACCTTAAAATTGTGCCCTCTAGTCTTGAAATCCCCCATCCTAGGGAAAAGACAACTACCATCAACTCTATCTATACCCCTCACTATTTTATAAACTCCTGTGAGGAGTTACTTGCCTATTATACATAAATGCAAGTGTGCTATTTCTGAATTTCTGATGTTGTGGGTCAGCCCGAGTGGTGGTCAAGTAGAAAGTGGTTTTGGTGGAATTTGGACAACAAGTAGAATTGACCTGAATATGGCTCACACTCAGGATTGCTACTTAAAAAGTGAAAAGACTTATAGTGGAAATGATGACACTAATGTGTTAGTGGACCAACAGAAGGGGGTCTAGGTTTTGCTGCCTGGACTTCAGTGTCACAATAGTGTTTTTTGGAGCCATCCAGGGACTGGAACCTTACTTCAACTTCAGTTATACAGGGTATTGGTGAGACTGCATCTGGAGTACAGTGTCCAGTACTGGTCACCGTACTTACGGAAGGATGTTACTGACTCGGAAACAGTCCAGAGAATGTTTACTAGACTAATACCTGGAATGAGCAGATTGCCTTATGAGGGAAGTCTAGACAGGCTAGGCCTGTAACCTTCAGAGTTTAAAAAAGTCAGATGTAACTTAATTGAAACAGATAAAATCCTGGGGGTCTTGACCAGGTGGATGTGGCGAGGATGTATCCTTTTGTGGGAAAATATAGAATCGGGAGTCACTGTTTAAAAATAAGGGGGCACATATTTAAAACAGAGTTGAGGAAATATTTTATTCTCTCAGAGTTGAGTCTTTGGAATTTCCTTCCACACAAGACAGTTGGTGCAGAATTTTTAAATATTCGTTAAGACAGAGGTGGATAGATCTTGATTACCAAAAGCATGAAAGATTATTGGGCATATGCAAGAATGTAGAGTTAAGATTCTAATCAGATCAGCCATGATCTTATTGAATGGCAGAGCAGGCTCGATGGGCCAAGTGGCCTACTCTTGTTCCTTGTTCATATGTTCATCCGTTCCAGCTAATTAGCATTGCCAGGACAAGATTCCTCTAATTATTGGAACTGTTAAGTTTTTCTTTGAGCATGTAAAGGAATTACTAAGTGTTGGAGCAATCTATGTTTTCCCCGTCCCCATTATATATGAGGTTCATCTGTGATGTGATTAATAACAAGGATAACTGTCTTCTAAATGCCTGATTTATTCTGTTCAAGCAGTGCTTGTGATACAGCTAATTCTCATCTTCTGAATGGTTTGGTGCTGATCCAGCTCGTGTAACTGTTTTACTCTGAAGCCTTTGAATTCTCCAACCCCATTTATAATCTGATCAAAATCGTGTTCAAAATAGACAAAGACTTTATGCTCGCACCATTCCTTGTAAACTTTCTTAACCTTCCGCTCCAGGTATTTATCTTAAAGGAATGTTTGGACATGTTAGACTTATATCTGTTGGAATTTGGAAGTGTAAGTAGTAGCTGGATTGAAACGTATAAGATCCTGAGGGATCTTCACAGGTAGATGTGGAGAGGATGTGAAAGAGTCTAGAACTAGAGCTCTCTATTTAAAAATCAAGAGTCATCCATTTAAAACAGAGGTAAAATACCTTCTTTGATAACCATGATTCCATGAGGCCATAACAAAATAGGAATAGGTGTAGGCCATTCAGCCCCTCAAGCCTGCTCACTTATCTTGAAAAGGTGGTGGAAGCAGAGGCCTTGAATATTTTTAAGGCAGAGGTAGATACGTTCTCATTGGACAAAGGGGTGGAAGGATATCAGGTAGGTGGGAATGCCAGTTTTAGCGTTATAATCAGATCAGCCAAGATCTTATTGAATGGTAGAACTGGCTTGAGGGGCTGAATGGCCTACTCCTGCTCCTAATTTGTATGTCTACTTGGATGTAAACCTGTAGTGCTGACAGGCAATGATAAATCCTGGTAACTTGCAGTGATGTGATTATAAAATATCATTTACATGTCTGCGTGCACCTTTCTATCTGTACCTATATTGTTGTGATATGTTAGAAACTTGCATCTGACCCATTTTCTACCAGATTTATCCGTTATAAGATTGTATATTCACATTTCTGAGAGTAGGTACCTGTAATCTACCTGTTCAGGAATGTTAAGACACACCTCTTGGACAGGTGTACCAATATAATTGCAGCTGCCTGCCATTAGTAGCATTGTAGTGCAACTATTGATGGGAATGTGCAATTACAGCCTGACAAAACTACATGAGCAATTTCCATTATAAATATAGATAAGAGTTTGCACTGCTAATCTGAAAACTGAAAAGGGTGGAGGAATTTAAAGTGGAGACTGTATCATAACCACATGCTTAATCAAAATCATTTTCTGCTTCTAACCCTTATTTTATCTCAGACTACACTTGGATTGGACTTTCAATTGTCTGCTCACTGTAAACATGTCATTCAGATCTTCTGTTCACAGAGCTATTTCATTGTTGACTTACAACGTGGTCTTTTCCCAACATGATTCACTCCTTTTCTAGTGTATCCACCAGGGATTTCTTATCTGACTTATTATCTTCTGGCACTTTAAAGCTGTGAAATTCTGCACCATCCTCATCTTCCTGCTCTCCTACAGCAAGTCTCTGAAACCATGGTTAATGTTAGAAGTCACACCATGCCAGGTTACAGCCCAACAGGTTTACTTGAAATCACAAGCTTTTGCAGCGCTGCTCCTTTGTCAAGTGAAGTCACTGTAACCTGGTGTGGTGTGACTTCTGACTTTGTCCACCCCAGTCCAACACTGGCACCTCCACATCATGTTTACTGTTACCCACCATCCTGACTGTTTATGTCTTGCATTCTTGGTTCTTAGTCTATCAATAAGAACCATCATTTGGGAGATCTTGAGTTTGTGGGATAGTGCAGAATGGGTGATGGTGAATCGAAAGTTTGTTTTGCACTTCTCCTGGTTTGAGGTCAGTGGAAATACACGTTAGAAGTAGAATGACAAGGGAGAACAGGGGAGGAAAGGGCAAAGGGGAAGTCTGTGAGAGAGTGGAGGGCAGAGTGCTTAGTTGACAACAAACAATGTATGCAAGGCCAAAGTGTGGTAATGGGACAACGTGTAACAAAATGTGAGTTCAATGCAGGTGTAAGTGGCAGCCAATACCGATCACTTCACAGGTCATGTGTTATGTAATCCAGGCTGGAAGTATTCAATGTTGACCTGTTTAAACTCTCTCCTGCTTTAATTACAATAACAAGCTATGTTACTGCTTAATATATGCACATGTACATACATACACTCATGAAAGGATCTAGAACAAGAGGGAAAAGGTTTAAAGTAATTGTCAAAAGAAGCAAAAATAATACGAGAGAAAGCTTTATAATGCAGCAAGTGGTTAAGGTCTGGAATGCTCTGCCTGACTGGTAGAGGCAGATTCAATTTAATGCATTCAAAGGGAATTGTACTGTTACTTGTAAAAGAACAGTGTGCAAGGTTACAGAGAGAAGATGGAAGAATGGCACAAATTGAAATGCTCATTCAGAGAGCTGGCACAGACACGATGGTCTGAAGCACCTCTTTCTGCACAATAACAATTCTGTGATGTGTGTATGTATATCTTGAGTTGTTTACATTTGTGTATATGTAAGTAATCAAACTAATATCTTGTTTTGTTATACCTCCAGGATTCAAGGGGATTTACTGTGAAACTGATATTAACGAGTGTGAAAGTAATCCATGTGTGAACAATGGTAAATGCATGGATAACGTGAATGGCTTTGCCTGCAAGTGCCCCTCAGGTAAGAAGCAATCTAACACAGGCTCCCTTAACATTCACCCTTGTTGGGATATACTAGTGAGGAAAGTACAGGCAACTATTGAGTTATTGTGTACTGCAATCTTGTGTGGGTTCGTGTGAGAGCGCACTCACACTCCTTCAGTATCTAAGTGAGCAGATGTGAAATTGAGACACAATTGATTTCAGGTTTGATTCAACCAATTCACCTGAGTTGGAAGAGCAAACATGCTTCATTGGCCTCTGTAATTTCCAGCAGAGGAGTAGAAGGACTCAGCTCCTGAGTTTCCATCTAGTGATTCTTGTGAGGAAACACAAGGTCTAGGCGTTGGTAAGTAAAGTCAGGTTCATGTGTAATGTTCTATCTGCCTCCATTCATTTGGTTGCTCAGCACCAATCGCTGATGATGCAGAAGGTCATTCAGTCCAAGTGCCCCTTCTTGCTCTTTGGAAGAATTGTTCATTTAATACTCCACCTGCCCTACCTCTACCTCATTGTCCTGCATTTACTTACCCTTCAAATAAATATATCCACGCCCTTCTGAAAGACATTGTTGAATTTGCTTCCATCACCCTTTCAGGCAGCAGGCTCTAGAACAGAATAATTTGCTGTGCTGAAGAAAGTTCCTCATGTCACTTGTTGTTCTTTTGCTAATTATCTTTGATCTGTATCCTCAGGTGACTGACCTTTTAGCCAGTGGAAACAGTTTTCCCTTATTTACTCAATTGAACACTCTATCAACTTTCCTCCTAATCTCTGTGCCAAAAATAATTCCAATTTCTCCAGCCTTTTTATGTAGTAAATTCCTACAGCCTGCTACCATTGATGAAGAATTCTCTCTTGAATGAGTTATGAAAATTCCCTTTCTAAACCTCCTCTGCATTCCTATCTCTCTCCACTCCTTTAAGCCACTCCCTAAACTCTGTGCCTCTTTGACCAAGCTCTTAATCATCTGTCCTTATGTTGTATTAAGTGGCTGGGGATCAAGTATTGTTTAGTAGTGCTCCTATGTAGCATCTTGGGATATTTCACTATGCTAAAGCTGCCATGTAAATGCACGTTTTTGTTGCAAGCCTGGCTGGCACTCGATCGTTCTTACTACAGGGTGACTCTGTGCAGAAAGCAGAAGTGAAAAACAAAATTGAGAAGGAATTATGGATTTTTAGCTTCCCATTCTCCCCACAAGCTGAAAGGAGTTTGGAGGGATATTGTTAGCAAACCACGTGAACCACTTATCAGAGTCCGTAACCAGTGGCAGCTTCACTTTTTATTTAACTGCAGGGAAATGTCACACTGACATCAATGTGCAATGTGTCATTGTGACCTATTTTGTCTCTATTCCAAGGTATGGTTACTATGGTTACAATATTGCAAGGTGCATGGAAAGAGAGAGAGAGTGCAAGGGAGAGAATTACCAGGATGTTGCCTGAGCTGGAGTGATTGACCTAGAAGACAGACTAGATAGACTGAGGTTGTTTTTCTTATAACAGAGAAGGCTGAGGGAGGATCTGATTGAAGTGTACAAAATAATGAGAAGTGTAGGTAGGGAGAAACCTTTCATCTCAGTAAAGGAATCGATAACCAGGAGCCACAGATGAAAGGTAAAGGACAGGATGTTTAAAGGGCATTTAGGGAAGTTTTTTTTCAACCAGAGGGTGATGGTTATCTGGAACTCACTGTCTGAAAGAGGCAGGAACCATCACAACATTATAAAAAGCATTCAGACAATCACTTGAAGCGCCAGAGCATACAAGGCAATGGGTAAAGTGCTGGAAAATAGTACTAGAGTGGATAGGTGCTTGATGACTGGTATGGACATGATGGACTGAAGGGCCTCTTTCTGTGCTTTCTGTACTCACTTGATATATCATCTCTGGAATGCAGTTGGCCGAAGAGCATTAAATCACTATGTCATAACTGAATGTTGAAAATATCAGAGACTAGAAAGAATTATTTTTTGGAATTATGCTAGTGGTCACTCATTTACCCAAGAGGACTCTGCAAACTAGAAATAAAGGAACAAGATAAGTCATTTCATTCATCAAATCCATTCCACTGTTCTAGATCATAGCTGATCATCCACCTCAATGCCATTTTTCATGATATTGCTTGATGGCATTAGTATCAGGAAATTGTTGGATCCTGGCTTGAACATGGTCGATGACTGAGCTTCCACAAACCTCAGGAGAGCTGTGTTGAAAACAGAAGCAGTATGCCCATTTACACTGCCATTATCTTGATAGAAAATATAGGATCATAAAACAAAGCAGCTGAGGAGGCAATTTAGTCCATATTGTTTATGCTAGCTCTAGGAAAAAGCTAGCCAATCTTTTCAAATGTATAGCCAGCCCCAGTTTGAAAGTTGCTGTTGAATCTTCTTTTGGGCACTGCTCCCTCCCGTTTTATTAAAAAGAAAAAGCTTTTCCCATCTTTCCCTGTGCTTTTTCCAATCCTTGACCTTACTGTCTCAAATATATCTAGAGGAGTGGGCCTTTGACACCAATTACAATTGTGTAATTAAATCTAGACAATCTGATAAAAGCATTTTAAAATTTCACAGTTAAATGAAGGTTACACACTTCATTGCAAATAATGGTTTTTATTTAAACCCCTTATTTGTAGGCTACCCTTGTCAAGTCGCCACCAGACCATAAGGCTGCTCTCTCGTAAGTTAGAGATGATTGGTGGTAGTTTAGCCTGAGGGTTGCCCTACCTCAGGCAAAGGAAGAGGTTGAGAAGGAGAGTCCTTCATGGTAACCTCAGCCCACATAGGAATTGAACCCACTGTGTTGGCATCACACTGCTTAGCAAGCCAGCCATCCAGCCAACTGAGCTAAATTGACCTCCACTATTCTTGTAAACTATTACTGACTAAATTAACATCATTTGAAATCTAGAAATCTTGCTTTTTAACTATGGATCTCCTTGAGTTATACCAATGTGTCATTTTACAAGATCAGAAGTCACACGACACCAGGTTATAGTCGAACAGGTTTACTTGAAATCACAAGTTTTCGGAATGCTGCTCCTTTGTCAGACGAAGTCGCCCGACGAAGGAGCAGTCTCCAAAAGCTTGTGATTTCAAATAAACCTGTTGGTTTGTGACCTGGTGTCATGTGACTTCTGACTTTGTCCACCCCAGTGCGGCACCTCATTTTACAAGATAGTAGTTGAAGACCTGCACTTAAATCTGGCCTCTGCTAGGAATTCTCCCATTGGTTCTCGTGCACTGAATGAGTTTGAAGTGCTGTGATCGTTAAATTTGGCAAACATGGTGGAAATTTGGACCACAGTAAAAAGCAATGAGATGTGACCAGTCCATTTGGTGGTGGTTAAGGGAGGAATTGTGGATAGCACACAGGAGGAACCTGTGCCTTATACCCTGCCCTTTCCATGTTGTGCCATGGGAACTTTCACATCCGGCAGAACAAGCAGACAGGGCCACTAGTTTAAAGGATCATCTGACATCTTGCAATGTACCCCTTCTTGCTAGTGTGTACAATTATGAGGGGTGTAGGCAGGAAGGAACTTTTCTCCTTCGTTGAGGGATTAATGACCGGGGTATGGATTGAAGATAAGGGACAGGAGGTTTACAGGGTATGTGACAAACAATGCATTTCACCCAGAGGGTGGTGGGAATCTGAAACTCACTGACTATAAGAGTGGTAGAGGCAGAAATCCTCTTGACAATTAAGAAGTATTTAGATGTGCAATGCCAAAGCATACAAGGCTATAGGCCAAGAGCTGGAAAATAGATTAGAATAGTTAAGTGCTTGTTTTTGACTGAAACAGTATTGATGGGCTGGAGGACTCTTTTCCGTGCTGTAGACCACTATGACTCTACCATACTGGAGTATCAGTTTACAATATCTGTAAATTGTAGCTCAGCGCATTATGTAACGCGTGTTGCATATGTCTACCATTTTTGTTGTTGTGAAATGTCCCAAGGTGCTCCAAAGGAGCATAGCCATACAAAATTTGATAGGAAGTCATGTAGGAGGTTTTGGGACAGGTGACCAAGTGTTTGGTCAAAGAGATGGGAGTTGAAGAGCATCATGTAGAGTTTAGGGCCTTGGCAGTTGCAGGCCTGGCTTCCACCAGCACAGCAACGAAAATCACACTTTGGAACTCAACCAGGGAATAACCAAACTTACGATAGCCTGTTGAGACAGTGAAGCACGATGTAGAGGAGAGGAAGCCTAGCTGAGTATTGTGGCTGTTGAACAACTGTCATCCTAATCTGAAACCCGCAGACTAATAACCAACAGCTGAAACCCTGCCAGGTTTTCACTTCTGTAGTATAGGGAAATATTGAGGTTAGTTGCGCAATGTGGAGGTGAGTGAATTCAGCACAGAACTGGAATTGAGCTGGTTGATGTGATTTGTATGGTTCAGTCAGATATCACTTTCACCAATGGGGACCTCTCATATTCACCTCACTGTTATTTCCCCCTTGTTCTTGTCTAAGAGAAATCTTTGCTTTCTTTAAGTCAGCAATGAGGCCAGATCCAGTCCCAGAGCAACAGTCCCTGTGCCTGATTGATTTACTGAAGCAGACATACCTTTCTGCAGCATCTTGCACAACCTTGTAAAGCTTTGGGAATGTCCCAATCAGTCACGAACTGTTAAAGTGTGGACGCTTGTAATGTGGTAAAAGTATCAGCCAATTTTCACACAGCAAGCATCCACAAACAGCCATGTCATAATGACCTGGCTCGGATACCAGAGAGAACACCCCTGCTCTATCTTTAAATAGTGCTTTGGGATCCTTATCGTTCACATGAGAGGGCAGATGGAACCAAAATTAAACATATGATTCAAAAGATGGCACATCTAAATCTGAAGCACTCCCTCCATAGTCCGTTTGAAGAGCAAATGCAGAGATTTTAACTGTGTTCTCTGCCCCTGAAATAATTCATCTGAATGAAGAACACATGTACGATGGCATTATGCATTGCAGATGTCAAAATATAGCTACATTAAGCACAAGGCATCTAAATCCCA